GTCTGTTCATTTCTATTCTCAACGAGTGGTAGATAATTCTATTGCTTACTGCAATATGGAATATTGTCAGTAGTACATGTTGATCTTTCTTCAGTTTTTGTGTGCATGAGTGTGTGTGTGTGAATGTGCAACAGAACAACAGATGAAAATGAACGCCATAGATTTCAGTATGTCAGCTTTACACAGTATGTATGTTTATGTTCAACTTCCAAGCAAATGCACGTCATAACTCTTTTACAGGGGCCATCAAAAGCCTCTAGTGTGTGTTTACAATATATAAAGCATAATGTGCAGCCCACCAAGACGCTTTGAACGCAGGACCAAGAATTTTGAGCCCTGTAGAAAATATAGCCGCAGACTTTGAACTCAAATTTTCCTATTCTTACATAAACATTTCTCTAATATTAGGAGTTTCAGCACATAGAACTATAAAGCACATTTTGATACAGTCCAGTATGTTAACTACCCTGTTGTTTTGGTCTTTCATATCTCAAAATGTCTATGTGCTAATTTTGTGTGCCTGGTAACCAAGATCTAAATTCTTCTGACTTAGATACAAGTGTGTCTACAATGACTGAAATAATGATTTAGATACTGTGATTATCAAGTTGATTAAAACACATAATTACTTGTGTGCACCATCAGCCAGTACCTTTTTTTTAGGGATATGGTGAAAGAAATCCAAACTTAAGCATTATTTGGCTCTTTATTTAAATTAAAATAAAATATTCATAGGTAAGAACCAGATGCCTTGATCTCTTTATATGTGCCAATATGAAAATTCAAAATACAAGTCTAATTCTCAGCTTACAGTGCACCAAACCATTCACAAAAATCCCCAGAGCCCCCTGCTGAAACAACAGGGACAAAACAGGAACCACAGAGCTACAATACCTCTCCTATCCGCTACAAGCCCTCTACCAACTTAGTGAAGTAGCTCAGTTTGTAGGATGTTTTTCCACTGATCCTAAGGTTGGCGGTTCAAATCCCACTCTCAACAGAAACACCACTGGTTGAGCAGTTAGATATACTGGCAGTACACTTCCAGCTCCTATAGATGAACGTTGTCATTGTGTCCTTGGGCAAGATACGACAATTAACCCACATTGCCGCTAGTGTCTGCATATTCTGTTGTGTGAATGGGTGAGTGCTTCCTTTATGTAGATTGCTTTGAGTACCTTGAAGGTGGAAAAGTGCTATATAAAAAAAAAATTAACAATTACTTTCCTTTGTCTTTGCTTTGTGTTTTTCTCTTTTTTTCCAGCCACGTGAAGTTCAACATTATCATTAGTCCAAGTCTGCTGTAACAGTTGCTATAGCTCTCTTTACTCCCGGCCTAATTACTTGTCATTATGAAACTCCTACAGAACAGAGTACATTTACAACCCACCTCTTGCACTCCACATCAGCGCATAGTCGAGAGCTGCTATTGCATAACGTATTAATGATTTTTTTTTTCTAAGGAGGTTAAAAATTTCACCGGCATGACAAATCTAGTTCAGTTACGCTACTCGATGAAAATGTTTTATATCTTAAGAGATTCTTACCTTTGCCATCCAAGATACTTTGTGGGAATTATACAGAGCAAAGGGATGGTGGTAAACATTCTGGATAAAGCGTGCAGTAATCTCCCGTTTAAGGCGTAGGAGGACCTACATATGTGGGTTCTCTAAGCTTCCTTTAAATGAAAATCAGTGCAGAGTCTTCTTTTTTCCCAATGGTGCAATCATCACATTAAAACCATAGCAAAATGGCTAAAAATGTTCCATTGTATTGGGCCCATTTAAATGAACCTAACAATAGCATGTAATTAACAGTGCAGTACACCTGAGCATTTAGACGTGAGCCAACCAAGTCTCCGATGTTTTTTCCCTTGTATTCAACTCAGAGTAATTATTCCGATTTGGTGTCTGACGGAGGGTTCTCGGGGGCTTTAATTAGAGAGTGAATTAAAGTTATGTAAATATAGTAGGGAACTGCACTCTCTGTAAATAGAGCCGTGTTGCATCTGCTGTATTTGTATTTTTCCAGAGCTATAAAAAACATTCTTGCATTTGTACTTACTTTCTTTTGAAGTTTGTCAAATCACTCTAGGCTTCTTTTCCCTTAGGTTTTCATGTGCAGTGATACTTTCAAAGGGTTGTGACCAATACTGGCTGGTAATGTAAACACTGGGGTGTTTATTAAATGGATGTTATTGTGAGAAAGGTAACACTGACCACTAATGTGGAAATGTACTTGGAATTATACTATTTCAGAAGTTTATATGAATATAATTATTCAAAAACAGAGCTAAGGCGACGCAGACATCAGGAGGCATAAGAATTTTAATCAAAGAAAAAATACTGAATATATGCTAATAATAAGTCAAGAAAATTACTTTTTCCTTCAGCTGTGAGGTCTGGACAAGACTAATTATAGATTCAAATTAACTTTACAGAACACAATATAGACCACAGACACCTAACAACAAAATCTGTATGCCAGAAAGAGAGGGGGAGAGAAGCACACTGTAACAGTAACAGTTACATGAGCATTCAATTATACTGAGCCTTATAATGGCATATTCTTTGCCTGTTACATGTTGAGGAAATGAGAAGACTGGGATCAACCTGCCATCAGGCAAAATTAAATCGAAACTGAGTGTCTCAGCCAACTCTGCACGGTTGTGCCTCCGAATAATAATGGCTTCTTTCACTGGTGTTTGTCATCAAATTAGCCTTACACTTGAGACAAGGTGCTCTAGCTAGTCACATGTGGAATTCAAATGAGCCCGTGTGAGGTGGAGGCAGAGAGTTTGGTGTGTGGTGGAGGCTGGCATTGATTGCTGTGGGTGGGAGGTTTAAATGAAATGAAACAAGTTTATATAAACACTTTTCTTTCTCGCAGCTATATCCATGCATTGAAGTAGAAGTGTGAAACACACTATTCATGAGTTTCAGCTTCCTGTTATATGCAACATTTTGAGGACTTTTTCCCATTCAAAAAATCTAATATTTAGTTTTAAAATGTTAATCTGTATGGCAACAGTATTATTCTTATTTCTGGAACCCATGGCTAAAAATTCTTTACTTCTCTACATGTTAAAAATCCAATCCTATGAAGCATTCTCTCAAAAACCTATCCCTGCCCACAAATCTGAACTCTTTTGAATGTGCATTAGTAAATGTCATAGCTTTCCACTTTTGTCTGCATGTGTTTGCCTTCTATAGTGCAGTGTTGCGTTCAAGGAAAGAACTGTTGCGTTCCACACAGTGCTCAGTACCTGACACTCTGCTCCTCCAGTAGCTTTGATCAGCCCAGGAGAGGGGAAACCTGCCCTGCGAGGAATCCACTCTCTGACACAGTGGGAGAGGAGTAAGAGAGGAGACAAGGAAACAACTGGCCCCCTCTGGTAGTGCATGTCAAAATGAAAAGAGACAATGAAAAGGTGATATAATGCACTAATGACACAACATAAGGAGATGTTGGTGCCTTGCAAAAGTTTTATTAAAGCTGCACTATGTCACTTTTGTGGTGGGAATCTGCTACCTGCTTGTTTTCCTGGGGATGTTATTGCTTTGCCTAGAATGTGACTTTAGTTGCATGTTTCTCCCGTGTCTGCGTGGGTTTCTCCAGGCACTCCAACAAGATCATGGAGATGGGTTCTCAAGTACTGCACTGCAGTGTTCAATGTTCCTGAGGAGATGCCTCAGTGGGAATGAAGGATGGGTCAAAAGCAGAGGGCAAATCTCCCTACTGGTACAATAAAGTGTACCTTATCTCAATAGAGAGCAATGGTGGTTGACCCTCTACCAGAAAATGTACATAGTGCACATTTATAGACAGTAATTATGAATGCAGATATATGGCCAACTTTATACTTACATTTATTTAACTCTGGACTCCAGGTTCTAGAAATGTAAGCACACAGATAATAACTGAACCTGTATCAACTGTAACAGATAGAGAGTGATTGCATTAACAATAGGTGTGCCTGTTCTTTGTAAATCTCATTTTTTATAATTAATGTGGCATTAGTGAAAAACTGGGACACTCTAAATAAGTGGGACAAGGGACAGGAGCCTACATTGACTGTACAGTTGGTCACCCTACCTGCAAATTGTTTTATTTTCATTTAGTCTGATAAAATATTAAGTGAATTTTAACATTTTCCTCAATAACATCTGAATTTGTTTATGTATTTATTGTACTTATTTATTTTTAATTTGTCTACCATCAGTACTTGTTGATGCAAGGTGAGCCTATTTAATTAATGAAAGCAAGGACAACTTAAATCCCAAAAGCACTCGAGTTTTTGGAGTTTTTGGAGTTTTTGTCAGGTGGCAGCATATGTTTGTTGACCTAGATGTTGAACCTTGCGCTGCTCAAAAGATAATTTCATAATCCATTTTGAAAAGGAAGCAAAGCCTGTCTTTGAAGTTACAAAAAGACAGTTTTTAATCTCAATTTGGGTTTCCAGGGTTGACTGTATAACTCATTCCGACTGGTTGAAAATATGCTGCTATGATGCTGCTCCTCCATCTTAGATCTGAAAGGACACTGCATTTCTCAAGAGTTTATTTTATATATACTATGCACATCATTCACCCGTGAGTGCAACTTGGTTATGTTTCAATTTCACAGTTCACCTGCACTTTTTCCACAAGTCAAGGATGCCATGGAGAACTGAAAGCAATTACAAATTTGCCGACAAATCAACAGTCCTTATCGAGTATGGATGAGGAAGCTAAAGGTGTGCTGTGTACAAGCTCAGTGCAGCAAAGCATAACGTAATAACTGCTTGAAAAAAACAACAACCTTACAACCCACTAGACCTGAGGACTGACATATAGACTTTCCACTGTAAAAAAAAAAAAAGCTCTAATCCAGTTTTAGTTTGAAACCAGACAGTAAATGGAGAAAAAACTTGTTATGCTCGAAAGACTATATTGTTGTATTCTCAGTGGCTTTAAAATTAAGTCTGCAACATGAAGTAATGGGTTGTTTTCCTCTTTCAGGGCTGAAGCAGATCCACGCGCTGTCCATCCAAGGGAACTATGAGCTACGCATTGACCTGGAGGATTTCGAGAACAGTACTGCATACGCCCAGTACGGCACCTTTGGAGTGGGTCTGTTCTCCGTGGACCCTGACGATGATGGATACCCGCTGACTGTGGGGGACTATTCTGGAAACGCAGGTATGAGCACGCGCTGAACTAGTTGAATATGTGCTGCGCTCACACTTTGCTATTTTTCAATTTAGCCTATTTTTCGCTCTGAGGTAGATAAAACGAAACCTCCACAGCGCAGAACTTCACAAAACATCTTGTACCAGGGTGTACAGGTCTGTAATGTGTACAGATAAGAATTCATCATAGTTATACTTTTGTGATGCAATTACAAGTACTAGTACAAACAATCAACAGCTGTTACTTTCTGGAGGAGCATTTACATCCTGTTTGTCTCCATGGAGAAGTTATTTCTCTGGAATTCCACTGTATGGCATTAAGCATATAAATCTCCATGGAGACAAGCAAATCTCCAGACATGTGAAAGTTGACAGAGCTTGACCAAATGACATTTGAAACAATTACTATCAATATTTTAACAGTCATATTTTCAACTTTCACCAAACTTAGAGCAAAAAAAATATCCATGCTGCTGACGGACTCTCCCAGTTTCATAGAACCCCATTAAATTAACTTATATTTTTATAAACAGGGCATCGCTACAATCTTCCTGTATCTTCATAGATCACAACCAAGTTACCTATCAGCTTCCTCTAAATTACTGCCAATTAATAGCACTGCTTGACCTGCAGCGTAAACAAAAATGTGCTACTGAAATGAAACAGCTATTTCCTGAACCTCTGGGAACTCGGCGCTCCAAGAACACTGTAGAAATTGGGACAAATTTACGAAGCTGAGGGAAGGCAGAGTGAAAGAGATGTAGTGAGGTGGAAGAGAATCTGAATAGGACAGCTGTGAAAGAGGCATGCACAGGAAGAGGTAAATAGAATATAGATACTGTCCTGGCATGGCCTCACCACTGGCTGGAGGCAGGTAGAGTTGCCAAATACTCAAATACTCAAGTACGCGTTGTTACTTCAAAAGCAGTAGTAGTAGTACTTAAGTACAAAGTGATTAAGAGAAGAAAATATTTGGGGAAACTCAAGTAACTGTCTATGCATCTTAATAGTAACATTAATCTTACTAATTGGAAGAGCAAAACATGAACTGTTGCTAAAAATCTGATATTTTCAAATTATAGACCAGAAATAGAAAGAAATAGAAAAAGAAAATAATAAAAAATACCAGAAAAAAAAAAGAAATAGAAAAAAGCATTTAATATTGTCAACATAAAGCTTGTAGACATACTCACAGGGAGATGAGTAACCAAAACATTTACTTAAGTAAGAGTAGGCCACTGATAAACTGTGAAATATATTACTTAAGTTGGAGCAATATACGTCTCATATCTGAAAATGACTCACACAAGTACAGTCTTACTCTAGTAAGTGTACTTGAGTAAATGTAACAACCCACCACTGCCACAGGCTGATGTGTGTTTGGGAAATCACACATGCGTCTTTCATGTAATATTAGTTGTGCTGTGGACACACTGATAGCTGCTCATTTGATCCGGTATGTTTGACGTGCTTGCCTCACACAGCACCTTGCAAATTAGCCATTACTTTTTTTATACATATCCTTTGGACACCTTTTTTCTTCTCCTCCCACTACTATCTCCTTTCGTCCGTGTCGAGCAGTGCACAACACGGTTATCAGACATGCCTGTCGGATCATTTTTCCTGTTCACTGGTTACCATGGTAATGCCAAATGGAGGGAGCAGTGCCGGTGCGAGAGGGTAAGAAGCTGAGATGGCCACATCCTGAGCAATTAAGAGCGGTTTGGTGCCCTGATGAGCTGTTATCTGTCACCTTGTGTCCGTGGGCTGCCTTTCACTTGCTGTCTGCTCCGTGCTGTGCTTTTTAGGCCAGGGTAAACACAGAAACACAGATCATGCTCTGGGATATATAGGATCTAAAACAGGATTCAAAAGTGTGTAAACTGCCACATATTTGTGCTGTTTGTTTTAGAATTACTCTTAATCATATACACTGTTTGAATAACATTTATTTAATGTAAAGAAATCTATCTATCTATATCTATATATCTATATCTGTCTATCTATATATGTGTGTGTGTGTGTGTGTGTATGTATATATATATATATATATATATATATATATATATATATATATATATATATATATATATATATATATATATATATGTGTGTGTGTGTGTGTGTGTATTGTATATCACAAAAAAAAAAAAAAAAATAAAAAAAAAACTGAATAAATAGGAGCCTCTCTGTAAAGATTATTGGGTAACATCAGCTCCTAAAACCACCATTCTCTCTGCTTTTTACAGCAAGTATTGATATTTACCATTTTCCAGAGAAAAATCCTTTCACAGCCGGAGGGTATTTTTGGGCTTAACACAATTTGGTTTGAGTCTGCCTGACAATACACACATTAAAGGGCCCTTAGCTTATCTCATATAACTGGGTCCTCTCTCCACCGTCATGTAACATCACTTACATCTTATATATAACAATAAATATGGCTATGAATAGGTCCGTTTGTGACTGTAAGCAATGTCCAGATAAAAGATCAACCTATCCACTGCACAGTTTAAGTGAGCTTTTCCCTTCATGTCATGCTCATAACCCATAACCACGAGCGCTCAAAATCAATGGGAGTGTGTTATTAAAAAGAGGATAAAAAGGTCACTATGGAACCTTTGATAAATTGGATACAAAGCTGTCTGACCTCCTGTTTGGATAATGAGACCCAATACTCCGAGGAAGGAGTCTGAAGCTTTTTAATTACTGCTGGTACTGACTAATGCTCAGCCTCTAATTTTAGAACCTATAACGCAAAAGACACACAAAAGATTGCATTCAGTAGAGCTTATAATTGCAATTTTTTTTTTCTCTAAAGCACTGAGAACGGATGTATTTTAAAAACAGCAGCTGGTCCAGTGGAAAAGAGACTGTATTTCAGACTCGGTGGGAGGTGAGGAGTTTGACTGGGGAGGTACATCTGTCAGAAGGTAATGTAAATGTCCTAGGGCGAGTTCAGGGAAGATGGAAACCCCACGCACAGCCGAATGACTTAGACATCCCCCAGTGCTGTACTGCGGCACAATAAAGGCCTAGGATTTCAGGAGTTAATTAAACTTAATTGTCCAGGGATAACGACCGTAGGAACTAGGAGTATCTTTTTCAAATTAATTATCTTCCAATGTGTTAAATGACTGCACTTCGATTAATTTGTACATAATAAAAAAGTAATGAGACTAATCGATTTTCTGACACCAAATACTGAAATATCCATTATGGTATTAATAATTACTAGTGCAATAAATTCAAGTGTAACTACTCTGCAAATATGCCACTGGGCAAGAACGCAACTAAATGAAGTTAAACTAAATTGTGTGTAAGTATAAATCACTTCACAAGTCATTAAACTGCTGCTCTTGCTTCTTCTACAATAACTACATTGTTGGTTGACTTCTGGATCCAATTTGGACACACTATTTTGTATTTTGATGGATATTTTGTGTTTATTCTTACCTGCATGTCAGCTACACATCACAGAACAATACAGAAAAAGAGCACAATTTCCCTATTCAGTACATGGTAAATTCACAAACGTGTTTGTGTTTGAACATGATCATTTCTATTGGTGACTAGACTGTAGAATTCACTATATTACAACAAATATCTGCATTTAACTATTTTCACTGAGACCTGTCTGTATAAAATGTATTAAAACGCTTATGTGTTGGGATGCCAAATCAAACCCAAAAAGAAATTCCTGCTTGTGTCAAACCCATGCTGTATACTCTAGACCAGGGGTGTCAAACTCATTTTGGTCCGGGGGCCGTATCCAACCGACTTTGATCTGAAAGGGGCCGGATCAGAAAACTCATGCCATATAAACCCCCAAAATAACAATAAGTTCAAATATTTGTGCAGAGAAACGCAAATCTATTACAGAAATATTTTTTAATTGATGAACTCTTTCTTTTACAAAATATTATAATATTATGAACAACCTGAAACTTGAAACCTGAAAAATGTAATTTCAACACAATGTTTTAACATGAACTTGTATGCAAATAGGAATAAGTCAATTTTTCTTGTAAAATCCTGCACTCGGCTCCACTTTTCTCATTTTTGACATTTTTCTGATGAGGGTGTCACGGTCAACAGTCAAAACGATCGTCCTTTAAGAGCGTTTGGAAAGAGACAAGTCTTCATTTGTGCTGCTCTGGTGGGAGGGGCCACGTACAGAGACACTGGAAAATTAACAAAGAAAATTAACAAGATTTTAATAGAAAATATAATTCAAATATTTTAGTAGAAAATCAGCCAAGGGCCAGATTAAAGGTCTTGGAGGGCCGGATCTGGCCCCCGGGCCTTATGTTTGACACCTGTGCTCTAGACCAAGCATGTCCAAACTATGGCCAAATTTTACAAATATTACAAATTTTCTTGACCCTCAGGCTTCAAGGTGACTTGGCCCAAATTACCTTACATCAATAAAAAATTTACTTTTTACTGCATTTAAAAAAAAAATCTACCTTGATAAAGCTAATATTGAATATTTAGTGTGTGGTTTTAAGGATCTTAGCATGAATAAAGACTGATGGCTCATTCTAATGTGTTAAACATGCACATGTTTCAATTATTCACTGTACTGAGCACCAGTCTACGGCCCTCGATCAGCCCTCTGCTTGGTCTGTGTTTACATATGTGGCCCTTGATGAAAAAAGTTTGGACACCCCTGCTGTAGACTGTATAAAGAAGTGGGCTTAAGGGATTGTGATGTCACACATTGTGTTCTGTTCCAGTCAAATGAAGCTCACGATGTTTGCAGTTATGGGGTGAATTTGGAGCCAAGCTCAATATTAGGAGAAGGGATTTATTAACAGACCAAAAGGTGAAATAAAAACCCCAGGATCATGTAGAGCAGGTTAATATAATTAATACATTTTAAGACCACAATGACGAGGCTCTCTACAGCATTTACAGAGAGAAGGGTGACAATTTTTCAAAGCAAGTTGACTGTAAGCAGGAGCAGAAGGAACCTGAACTGCCCCCAGGCTTAAATTTGGAACACATCGGCTACATTAGCTATATCCATTTATATATATCTATATAGTCTTTGGTCAAACCAAATCAAAAACAGAAAACTTTTAGATTAAACCTAGTCTTTCTTTATTTATTGTAAATATATTATAAACTACATTTTGTTTAGGAATTAATTTGTTATGTACACAACTCACATCTTTCTCGTTTACTGTAGGTGATTCTCTTCTGAAGCACAACGGAATGAAGTTCACGACCAAGGACCGGGACAATGACCACTCGGAGAACAACTGCGCCTCCTTCTACCATGGAGCCTGGTGGTACCGTAACTGCCACACCTCCAACCTGAATGGCCAATACCTGCGGGGCCAGCACACGTCCTACGCGGACGGCATTGAGTGGTCTTCATGGACTGGCTGGCAGTATTCCCTAAAATTCTCTGAGATGAAGATCCGACCTACTCGCGACCCTGATAGTAAATGAAGGAACGTGACTGAAGTGGAATCTAATCTTGGGGAGATAAATTTACTTGGAACATATAGATGGAGTTACATGTCTTCACCTCTTTCAACTCAGCAGACTGTATGATGTTTTTTTCATTTGCAGCATTTTTCCGTCATTTTTCATACTGTCACACTGGATATTGACCCTTACAAGAAGATCCCTCAAAACCAATGCAACCTCTGAGCCCTATGGTTTTCATTGCAAAGCAACTCTGAGCCCACAGTTTAAAACGGAGCATTGGTGGTCCCTTACAAAGTCATTGTGATCTCATTTGAAATCTTTTATCTCTGCTGACAGTACAATTTGGTCCCGCTACCAAAAAGATATATTCCATGATTTGCCATGAAATAATGATAAAAGCGGACATAATTTCAGTCGAATCTGGCCCAGAAGAGACAGCTCATCTGTACTACATTATACATAGACAAAAAAGTGCCATTGTACAATTTTAGATTAGCAAAGAAAAGGTTAAGGATGTGAATAAGTGTCAAGAAGTTGCATGGGAGAAAGAATAAATACACGAGGATCTCATTCATCTGACTTTAGCCATTAGGGAGCATATTGGGCACTTTGTCTGATGTGGCTGCCAGCTGAGCACTGGCCAAGTGATGCAGCATTCACAGATGGTAACCCAGTGCTGTGTGCATAAGTAGTGTGTGTGTCTGTGTGTGTATCAAAGACAGAGATAGACCAACTCAGATCTCTCATACTATCAGTTTCCTGTTGGAGTTCAGCAGAGCCAGGCGATGAATGGACAACAGCGTTTGCCCTGGCCAGACAAAACACGATGCATGGGGGACACACTGTACAGTCCCTACCATGCACCAGAATCGTTTACATCTAGTTTGAATAATTCCAACTAGTGCAATGGGAGCTTCCATATATTTGGTTGCTTCTGATTTGCCAAGCTTTAGTATATGCTACAGGAGTAACGCTTTTTTCAACATAAATTTAACAAGAATCACAAATAAGGTTCTATATCACCTACACTGACCAGCAGAGGGCAGTGCTGAAATCACTTTGCACAGGCTTTCAGCACCACTCCCTGTTGGCCGGTAGAGATTCATAGAACCATAGTTACTTTCATAAATTTAGCTTAATAATAATAACTTCATTGTTGATGCTGTTTTAATTTGCTCTGTGTAGCAACATAGCGAAAGAAAAAAAGGGTACAAAGAAAAAAGCTGTGAGAGGATTTTGTGTAATTTACATTTCCCTGTCTGACCATTTTGACAGTGTTGAACCTAATGTTAAGTTTTTTTGTTTTGTTTAGTTTTTTTTTCTTTAATGTTCTAAAAGCTTTAAAATATCTGTAGATTTTACTGTACATTGTGTACTTTTAGAGCATGTGATGCTGTTTTCTTACTATGCTAAAACACAAAGAGAGAACTGAAGCACATGGACTAAGACAAATCCACCAGTTTAAAAAAAAGACTGAAACTGACTAAATAAACTCTTTTCTTTCTCAATACTTACATTTCCTGGAGGTGCTGCTCAGAAAGTGAAGAAAAAATCATGATCCCAATAGCACAAAATCCACCTTTGAGCGTACCATGTTGACACTATATGACTGCCTGGAGAAATCTTCTGCCCCATTGGTTTTGGATGAACATTTCTGGGAAGACATTTTGGAGCCCGTCAAGGAGGAGTCACTGGCTGACACACTAGTGAGTAAACGTGCAACAAGGCGCCATGTTGCATTGACTATCACTGACACTGGGACAGCTGTGAAGTTTTCCTAGAGGGGTTCTCCCATCGCTGCAGCACAAAGCTTGACTGCAGCAAATGCCGTTAAAGCAGACACATATGTGACAATATTGTTGAAAGAGCACAGCAGTAAGCTACGAGAATGTTGATAGATTTATAGAGACATTAAAAGAAGTTATATAAAAGGACAAAGAGGTGAGAAAGTAGGCCTACGTGAGTGTGAATGTGCATCATTGTGTACACAGTAAATGCATGAGGTGGACTGGAGGAACAGCAGACAGAGCAATGGTCTCTGTAGGAAGTTATGTCAGGTGCTGTGCTTTCCTCCCCTTGTGTTGCTAACAGAGAAATTTACACTATTATAAAGAACTATTAATTATTGTGATTGTGAACCCTATTTGAGTGGACAATGCCCTCTGGTACTGTGTTTACCTAACCTGAGCTTGAGCCATAGACAGTAGAAAGCAGAGTGACAGCAAGTGAACTAAGGAAAAGGTTTAGGGGTTTGTCCTTGTTTAGTCCTGGTTTAGGCCAGGTTTGAGTGCTAATTTAGATTTGGTTTGGTCCTCTTTAAGTCTTGGTTTAGTCCAGATTTAGTCAGAATTATGATGTGGTGATTTTGTAAGTGTGAACACACCCTAAAATTCGATAAGTACCAGTGACTTACCAACTAATTTTTACTTCTGTTAAGTGGAACTGGCATACACTTTGAAAGTTGTTGCATAACAATTAACTAAGCAATTATACACTATTGGGCAAACTTTTATGTTAAAATGAGTCACAGTTTTATTCATTTGTGTTGTGTAGTTTATCGGAATGACATGCTGTGCATCACTCATGACACATCGTGGGGAAGAATAGAGAGCTTTTATTACAAGTCACTAACATTTTGGTCACGATTGCTAAGTTCCTAAATCATTAGTGTGTGCAGTATTAAGCTGACTCTGGCACAACTAACTGTAATGCAGAACACATTTTGTCTTATCGACACTTACTTTTAATGTACTGCTTTCATAAAACAACATATGCACATGCAATCAATTAAACGTATGAGAATGCTAGAGCTAACACATGTTATGGGGTGCACTGGTCCTTCTACTATCTATGGCTCTTGCCCTTCTCTGTTCTCTCTTCATGTCTCCACTCTCTTGTGCTCACTGTATATGTTACTGCTATGTTGCCCCCTTGTTATTTGCGTGTAAAGAGCAGACATTATTTGCCACTTCCCTCCTGTGTTCTTTTAAAGCCACTTCCAGGCGAGTCTCCGATGGACAGACGTGATAAAGGAGAGGAATCAGAGGCTCTAATCATTCCAGTTATCCCGCTCATTACATCGCATCAATCCCCCAGGTCCTTCAACCCTCTATCTTTCTTACTGTGTTACTCCTTTAATTGCCTTAGCCTCTGCTGCCAATTCCCACTCACTCAACAGCCCCTGAACACCCCGTCACTACCCCCAGCAACCAACTAACCCAACCTTCATGTTCTTTTTCTTTTTAGTGAAGTATATAGATTGTTTTGCTGAATCTTGAGCTGTGTTAAAAATGTTCTTGTCAACATTTAATAAACATTCACATTTTGTAAATGCTGAACATCCTCATGTGGTATTTTGTAGTTGTTCTGTGAAAGAATCTTAGCAGTTAATCATGCGTGGACAGACCTAGTAGTATTTGTAGGTTTTCATTTTCAAGCTGCCATCTTGACCGAGCTCTATGCAAACAAAAACATTTAACACTGAGCTGGCATCAAAAGGCTGGTTATTTTTTTGGAACATCAACTATAATAAAGAATGAAATGAATTGGCAGTCTGTCTGAGACATAGACATACTGCTAAAAAACTAAATAACTGAACACTCATGTCTGTTTGGCTCATTTGTCACTTTTACAGTTTAAAGAGATCATATTACGCTATTTTCTGATCTCTGTTATAATGTTCCTCTTCACAAACATATATGGAGTTGTGTTTTACTTCATTCACACATGTTTAACAGACCAACCTTGCATAAACTTTGACTTCTTCTCTCAAACAGAAAATATGTTATTCTAAACTGCGTTGTCATGTGGTAATACAGGAAATGCTCCACTGTTTTTAAACTCCATACACCTTCACTAGAATAATTTGGATGAGTTCAGTTCTGGAATTACCAATCTACTGAATTAAAGGTAAAAGGTTAGCTCAAAAACTACCACTACATGACATCACAAGTTGTAACAGAGCATTTTAAGCTTTGGAGATGTAGACGGACTAATAACAAACTCTTATTCCAACATGTGTGAATGAAACAAAACACAACTCCAGGTATCGTTTTGAGGAGGTAACAACATTCTAACAAGTTCACAAGAGTCAATTTAGCATAATATAGGACCTTTAAAGTAGAAACAACCCATTTCTTTTTTATGTCAGGTTAATCCAGTTTCCAGATAGTGCTGCCCCTGCCCATCAGGGAAATACGGTGCCTGTACTAATTCTTTTGAAGATTCTGAGGTTAGCTCGGTGAAGACAGCCGGCTGCCAGCCCAGTGATATTTCTCATCAAGAGAGTTCAGAGTGGAGTGATTCAAGTCAGACAAAATGCTGGCATCCGACTTTGGAACTGGCACTCCGCACACGCTGCCTGAGCTATCCACTCACAATGACAGCAGGCACACATTTGGCTTATTTGTGAAGCAGTGTCAAGATGTTCCCAATATAATTTGTACGCTTCTATTGCTGCAAAATGCAGCATTTTCATGTCTGGATAAATTCACCATGGTCAGACTGATGCATAACTCCTCCACTGTGCTTTGTCAATTTGCCTTTTCCCAGATCCCCAGAATTTCATGGAGAATAGAGGCCTTGAGGTTGCCAATTGCACTGCTTTTGAGTTTGGTCTGTCTGGGTCAGATGAAAATTGAATGGTGTGATAAATGATTTGCTACCTGATTTCTCCTCATTTGGAAATATAAAAAATGCTCTGTATAAACAAATAAGCCAGTGAGTGTGAAGTAGTATGAAAAGAGAAGGCCATTCATTTCAATGTTTTTTTATTTATTGGTTATAGTGTAATGATTGTACTAAACTAGATTTGTTTTAAACCAAACCTTTAATAAAAATCAAGTAAAATCTATAGACTACCTGTTCCTAAGCAGTAAAGACATTTAACCCAATATATTTTATAATAGCTTGAGCAAATGATGCAGATAGGCATAAAAATGAAACAATTTATTACGCCACATCATGTATTTTAGAAAATCTCTGTTATTTGGTGGACTGAAAAAGAGACTGCATAATTT